AGGTTTGCGCCATTAATAGCTACCTACAATATGGGTTCCCACGGGCAACTGAAACACAGTACAACTGTAAGTGGCTCTGCCCACCCTCTCCACAGAGACACACGGCACACCTGTTCCCCCTTAAATAAACTTATAAACTAAACTTATTTAAGTTAAGGAGTTTACACATTTTACTGGAACGAAAATCTCAGAATTATCTGAAATGCATTCATTTTTTCAATAAAAATAATAGAGTTGGTTATCAATTTGTATCCTAAGTCCATAATAGTTCTTATTTTTGCCTTTGATTCACCTCCCAGTACCAACATGTTAGTTCAGCACCCATAAAAAATGTCTCAAGTTACTGTAATAGATTCCTAATTAACCTTCCAAGCTTAAATTTTTTTTCTAAACATCTTCTCAATCACTTCTTGAAATTGATTCTTGCAAAAAAGCAAAAACAGAAAAGGTCGTTCTATACTTACGAGCTTCAAAGATTCCTCGCTGCTTCTAAGATAAAGTCTAAAGGTTGGTAAAGCACACACATGCCTTACAAGTTGGCTCTAAAATCTCTTTCCTAATATTTACTGCTCCTTTGAACTCCCATAAATGCTAACGTAACAGAGACAAAGTCCTGAAAAAGAGCAAAAATTTGTATGAGCTGCCTCTTTAAAATCCCCATTCTTTCAGTAAAACCTGCATCCCAGCCAGAGACCAGTAATCAGTGAGGAAGAAAGTGTCCTCTGATTTTTGAAACACAGGAGAAGTCTCAGTGGAATTGTCTGGGCAGCAGTGATGAGATTTGCCAGAGATGGGGTCGATCAAAACCATTAAGTATTTAAACAAGAACCTGAGGTTGATTCCCCTCCCCTTTAAACGCTCTGCCTTTCTGTATATAGTTAGGGCACTGGTACTTTAATATGGGAGTCTGACAACCTTCTCATTTGCTGGCAAATTAATAAACTTCTACTTACTTCTCCTCAAACCACTTGTTCTCATTCTTCTGATGTGGCCTCGGGGACAAGAGCCAAACTTTCAGTAACACTAAAATCAAACCACACAAATTCTTCATTTTTTTTTTTTAGAAAAATACCTTTTATACTTTTTTTTCTTTGTATAGTAGATGTTTTCCCTCTGCCTAAAACATCTCCTCAATTTTTGTTTAGGTTTGTTCTTTTTTGTTTTTTTCTACTTTTTTTTTTTTTTAATCCTTTCAGGATGAGGGTACAAAGACTTATGTTACAATGTTTGCATGTGTTCGGTAAAGTCCCTCTTGTAACTGTGTCCTGGCCCCAGGAGTTGTGCCATCCTCCCTAACACTGTGAGGATCCAGTGGGAGCACCATCCCCACCCCACCCCCCATCCCCCCAACCCCAACCTTGAATTGATTTGAGTTTTTCTCTTATGTGGGCGTGTATTAGATTGTCTGCTGGCTTCATATTAGAAGTGAGTACATTGGATTCTTGTTTCACCTCCTAAATTTTATCTTACTGGCACACGGTATCTCCACTGTGGCTTCTCACATAGCATATTAGCTATGTGTCTGTGGATCTTTGCTCACTGAGCTGTGTTCCTGTCGGGACAAGATTTCGAGTAAAGCATAGCTATCTAGAAAATAATAGACATTTAATTTTAGTAGAATGAATAAATGAACACAAGGTAACAAGCATATGATTATATCTATAAGTAAGAATCCTGTTGGTAGGATTAAGTCGATAAATCAGTCCTCAGTAAATTGTCCAAGACAAACACACTTAACTAGGACATTACCTTTAATTTACAACACAATATTTCAACTACATCATAATCTGTTATATAAAGGGTTTTGTCTAAGAAATTGTGACTTTTAAATCACTAACTTTCAGACTATAACTTACTTAATGGATCTAATACAAATGTAACTTCAGAATATTTTACTCAAATCATTAGAATTTTGAGTAAAACTAAAACATTTTACCCACACTAAATGCTACAAAGTTATACAAAAGTCAGCTACATTTAAAACAAAAAGATTCTCTATTTTTTAAGTAAAAAATTATTTAAAACAACCACCCATAGCTCCATAAAACAGAAATAAAGGTAAAGAGTATATATCCTATTGTTTAAGGCAAGAGTATTTTCACTGAACATAAAATATAAATAAATCATTCTATGATGTGTAATTACTAAAAAATGTTTTAGAGAAAATTTCAAAATTCTGGCAAAATCTTTGAAAACATGTACACATCTAAATTCCTGATTATAATAATAAAGAGTGAGCTTGAATAGAGAGATCCAAGGTATAAAGTTAAAGTAGTAACAACTTACAACACTGATGTTTGTAAAAAAAATTTATTTATTATTCATTTATTGTTCCATAAACAAAAGTTAATTTGGAAGAATATTTCTTTGTAACATTGCATACATATACAAAATTGAGCTACTTGGGAGGCTGAGGGGGTAAGAACACTTGAACCCAGAATTGGAGTCCAGCCTGGGCAACATAAAGAGACTCTATCTCCTTAAAAAAAGAGAAAAGAAAAAAAAATAGTTGATAAGTTGACTCTTTGGTTTATCATGTCATCCTTTTTGTTTTAAATATTCTAGAATCTACCTGAATAATAGGATAAGTTTGTTTTTAAATAGCATCACATATGGCTACACACAGTCAATGTAAACCAATAATTCTACTTTGTATCCTTTGGCCACAGGCACATTAAGAATCAACAGATAATCACAGATCACAGAAATATTTGGGGGATAATACTTGAATAACTAGATAGATCTTGAATAAAGTAAAAGTTGAATACACACAGAATTCAACTTTTTCCACTGTTTATCTAGACATCATCTTGAATATACCAGATATTTGCTTCCATAAATACCGACTGACAACCCATCTCTCAACACTCTGTGTGAAAACTATGGCTAATCTTCATCATCATAATGGAGCGATATGAGTGTGTTCAGGGTACAGGGCCATTTATACTATTCAGAAGCCATCTGCCAAGAACTACTTTAAAATCATACCCATTTTTTTAAGTTTCTGGTGTTGACATACAGTAAGTTACACTATCAAATTAAAGTACATTTAAGTAACATTTTCTTTCCCTCAATGTTAATATGGGAAGAAAAAGACAGTGTATTTTTTGAAACGATAACATCCACAAGCTGTGACGGTGTCTGTTTCAAAGTTAAATGCTGAGTACATTTTTTAAGCATTGAGCTCTTGCTCAGTCTTATCCCTGGAGAGTTTCTCAATCATGGAAACTGGGGAAAGTTATTATGTACAGATTCTGACATACAGAGATTTATGGAGGGAAAAAAAATAGAAGGAAAATAATCAAAGCAAAAAGCCAGAGGAGAATAAATCTGTGGTGCAAAGGCCCAAGTTACCTGTCAGGAGTGGATGAAATAAAACATCGTGCACTTCCCAATTCCACTTCAGGGAAGAGCTTAGGGACTGCTTAAAAGGACATTGCTATAAGTTACATATGTTTCCAGAAATTAAGGAAATTGCTGTACAAAAGGCAATGGGATTTGGCTTGTAATTAAACGTGATTAAACTCTAGTCTTTATATAATTTCAGCTTTAAAGTTACACAGCACTAAATTTCAGGGCTTTCCATTCTCAGCTAATGGCAATTAGCTCATTATCCTCTCAGCTCTGAAAGATTTCCCATCCATCCCTAACCAAGATTTCCCATCCACCCCTAACATAGAATGGATAACATTAAAGTCCATTCATTTTAGTTAACTGTGGGTACTAGACTTTGTTAATTTCCCCCAACCTCCTACTGTCATATTTTCTCTTGTCCTGTCTTCTCCCCATAGTTTTTACATACTATGGAAAGTTGCTTTATGACATAGGTAATAATACTTTTGACTGAAATGTGCAATTCTACAACTGCCCCACATGGCAACTTAGGATATATTAGACTGTCCATGTAACATGATGTGTAAACATTTCATATTTCTCACATGATGCACTGCCTCTTGATTCTGTCCTTTGTGAAAACAGCAAACCCAAGTTAAAGTCTCCGGAATGGATATGGAGCTTTTATTTCATTAGACTAAGAAAGGCAAAGTGTATCTGATATCTGAATATCATCATCAGAGAATGGAGGAACTATGATAGGTTCACTTCCCATCTTTTTGCAAAGTGCCCTCACAAAAACACTGTGCAGTTAACATCTGACAACAGAGCAAAAATCTTCGCATGCAAAACCCTTCAGCATTGTCATGCTAATCTGATGTAAAAAAGTTCGAAGTTTACATTTCTGAAAGCTTCTATACACTAAAAAAAGAGGGGAAATAGTTCAGGTTTTCTAAATTCCTGTTGGTTGGATATAAATTTGAAGTTTAAAAAAATGACTGTAAAAGATCAGCAGCTGATGTGTGTGAGTTGAAGGCAGGTTCCCTGGGTCCAGAAAAGAAAGTAGCCCCTCATGGACAGGCTTCCGTGGCCTAAGAAAATAAATCCCCGTGAATGCAATTGCTCTATGTGAGGCTGAGAATTTTCAAACACTTCAGGCAAAATTTAAAAAATTGCACTGAATGGAAATAAAGTTGAAATGATACTGTTGCTGCCCGGTTGCACAGTGCTACACAGGAAAAGTAATAAAACATGAAGAAAATAAAACAAATCCTGTAAATTTAAAGTGAATTAAAAACACAAAAAGGCTTTGTCCCATTTTTTTTTTTATATTTTTGAACACATGAAAACACCGTAAAAACACGTTATAAAGGTCACAGAGAGAAGTAGGATCCTTTTCTTAAAAGGAAAGGGCTTTGGAATGAAATAAAACCCACACACCATCTCTCTACAAAAGTTTCTAATTAAGACTTAAGAGGATCTACAGTCTGAAGAAAGCAATTTAAATACAATCTTTTTTTTTTAAGCCAGTATCAATGAAAAACCAGATGTTTACAGAGAAAGTCCATCTCTAGTGGTTACTAACTTCTCTTTACTGTACATTAGTTCACTGGTGAACACATACATCTACCCATAATACCATCCTTCCAGAAAGCTATTAGCATAGAAAACACTGTCCACAGTGTTCTTTGGACAAGTATGTATAGCCTCACTCACTTTGTGTTTTAATAGCTATTGGAAATTACAGTATTCTATTTATTTTTGTGTATGAAGTTTCCAAACTTTTGCATGAATCCCCGAAACTTGTTTTCATTCGGCTGATATGAATGATAAACACCAGCGTTGTAATTAAGCAGCGGACTGGACCTGCCGTAACTGTTGCCCACGGTTGTAGACTTGATTTCTGGGCGATGTAAACTGGCGTTTGGCGTGTTGCCTGCTGGCTGCATAGAGCTCTCAAGCTTACAAAAGGGCTCAAAACGACTGTAAACGCGGCGCTCTGTCGAATGAGATCGCAGGAGCTCATTGGGCGTCAGCCGTGGGGAAGCAGTGGGTCTCCTTTCAGGAGTAATAACTGCTTTTATCTCCTTTGAATCTCGGTACTGGATCTGTTCAGTATTAAACCTTGGGGCCGAAGCATCTCCTGCCCTTTCCAAGAACTTACTTTCAACTGGACCTGAAGAAGGTATTACTTTATTACCTTCATCGGATGGAGAATTTCCTCCCTGAGAGCAGCTAACTGTGACATCTTCCTTACTCTTGTGGATACTACCTTGAGAGTTTGAGGAGGAAGAACGCTTTTTTCGAGGAGATGAATCAACTTTGGGCTCTGATTTCTTTGGATTCTGATTTTCCTCCCCCTCAGAAACTAAAGTGTCTGAGCTACTACACATTCTATAAAAGGCAGGGGCTTTATTTTTGGATAAATTTTCTTTCTTTTCTGGGGTAAGGCTAAGTAAAGACCTTAACTTCTGAGATCCCTTTTTCAAAAAACTTGGGGACCCCTTGACTTCCTTCTTGGAAGTGAGCTCTTTGTTGGGTTCCTCTTTATTCATATCTAGTAAAGCTGCGATGGAAATTGACTTGGTAGCAGCGCCACCTGGGGGTTCCCTCTTGACAACCTCCTCCTCCTCCTCCTCCTCCGCGTTGTGGGTCACGTTGTGCATGCTTTTAGAACTTTTCAGCAAATCCTCTTTGGGCTTTTCTGGTTGTCTAACTCGGTTCCTTGTAAGTGTGCTATAGACATAATGCTTACTGTTTCCATGATCTAAATTGGCTTTTGAGTGGTCAAAGAACGGGAAACTTCGCCTTTTAAGTAGATTCTCATTTTGTTGATTCTTTAGATTTTCTGTCTGTTTATTTGCACACAAGGTCGTGTATATATAGTTGTTTGACTCTGTATGGGCATTCGGAGTTTGGTTTAAGACGGGCGAATGGTTTGCAGGAACCTGCAAGGCGTGCATCTTGGATGCCTCTGACTGCGATGGGAGCCTGGGGATTGCTTCTGGCATGAGTTTTTCTGGCAAATGCCGTACACTTGTCGGGGTTTCTGGAACTGCTTTAGGGGTGTCACTTCCCTGGGAACCAATGATAGTCGAATTTGAGGAGCCAGTTGTACAACTGCTAACTTCCTTTTGCTCAGGTAAAGTTGGTTTAAATACAAAGGAGGAACGAAGCCGAGAATGGGTATAAAGGGCACTGGCTTTCAAATTCTCAAGACTATCAGAGCCCTCAAATCGTTCTCCATTTGAGTCAGGTGTAGCTTCAGAATGGTCATTTAGGTAGGATTCAATTCTCCAGTTGCGCAGGAATGACCTTGTGGTATGCTCCAGGGTTGGCATGCGCTGTTGCAGAAAGCGGATGTGATTATCTGTGCCATTAAAAGACCTCCGCACAGTAGAATTCCTGTCTGCGATGTTTGTCTTCCTCTGGGCAAGCCGATCGGCGAAACTCTGGGCAGGTGTGTGGTGCTGGCTCCCATAGCCTCCCCGCGACGAGGACGCCACACTGAGACTGTCGGAAGGCCTTTTCCAATTGCCAGGTGGATTATTGTTTCTATTCAGAGCTCTGTTAAGCAGAAGGTATGGAGCTGTTTCTGGCTGTTCCCCAGCATAACTATGCCGTTTCCAATTTTCATTTTTCTGACTAGGTTGAAACTGACGTATTGTACTTGGACCATTAAAGTTTGGAATAAACTGAGGTTTGTATCCATGATTTCTTATGTGATATTTGTCACGTTCGTTCTGGGTATACATCCCTCTGTTTTTGAAGTAACTAGAATCTAGTTTATGAATTTTGTCTTGTCTGCCAAAAAGGTTTCTTTGGCTGGAGATGGAGGCTAATGAAGAAACTGATCGCTGGTAAGTTCCATTTTCCCAGAGTGTTTTGCCATGCTTCACTCTTGCTGATTCCTCGGGAGCAAATGAACTGGGGACCTGGGACCTGGCGTAGAGAGTTCTAAATTCTTCATCAAAGGACTCAACAAGTTGTCCCGTGATTATCTGAACCATGCTGAGGTGAGCTTTCTCAAATGACCACATATAGCTGGAAAAAAAATGTGGAAAATTTTTAATTTTGCTAAGTCAAAAGACTAACAAAAATACAAATTTTTACTAAAGAAAAGTATCATGTAATGTCAACAAAAGAATGCTTTTAAGTGTTTTCCTTGACTACCATAATTTAGAATATTTTCAATCATTATTCTTGCAATACATGAGTTTCCCCATCCTCCTATTCATATTTTAGATAACAATGAAACTCAAATTATGGTTTTGAGTCTACTAAAATTTTTTATGTTACCTTTCAACAGTCCAAAGAAAAGTTCACAGTGTATTTTTCTTCTCTGGCTAGCAAGATTTTATGGAGTAAAAATTGAATTATGTTTCATAAGTCACTTCCTGGCAGAATGTAGGAAAGCCAGTACTGGAGGAAAAGTTAGAGACCTGGTTTCTGTTGATCTGTATGCACATGAGTTCGGACACTTTCCTTGTGTCCAAAATGAGGACATAGGCAGCATAATAGCTGCTCTATCCCTGTAGTTCTAATATGATGCAATGTGAGATACTTTTGTGCTAATGCATGTGTTTAAGAGGCTCGTGTTTTCAGACTGTTATCTCTATGGCTTCCTCAGTAAGTACAATTTAGAATACCAGGGGCTATAAAGAGAGGATTTATGGGCAGCAGCCTCAGTCATTAAAGGGAAGATTTCAACGTACTCAGTGTACATACATAGTAATAGCAAACACAGTGCTCAGAATCCCATGCCACTCAAAATACCAATAACAATCTTTTAATATGGAATATAATTTTCAGGAAATTAAAGTTTGTATGATTTTGCAGTACTTTATAGAACTTCCAGTCCCTCTCCTAAGGTTAGCTATTTTGAAATTTAAAATCGAATTTTAAATCTGATTTTTGCCGTTTTTGGCCGGGGCTGGGTTGGAACCCACCACCTCTGGCATATGGAGCCAGCGCCCTACTCCTTTGAGCCACAGGTGCCACCCTTTAAATCTGATTTTTGAAAACCTAGACGATGTAATATAAAGAGTTACAGGACTGAAAAATAAATGAATTGTGAATATTCTATGCATCAAATAATAGTATATAACACAACTGGAGTTAATAGAAAAGGAAAAGGAGACAGAGACTTTCTCCACATTGAAGGATCTTACTATTTGTATGGGACAGATGATGAGAATTGCAGATGAAAAGATTAAAATAATGTACAGAGTAATAATCTAAAATACAAGTGTGCCACATAAGAATGTTATTCGCATATGCTTAATTATATTTAAGATGCCTTTTGAATGCATGATTTTGAGAAGAATATTTACTAAATGTTCTTTATCTGAACACATGTGGGCCACCCAGCTGAGTTAAAAGAAATGGTACAAAAATCAATGACTATTTCTGAGTAATGTCTTGGCTATTCAAAGTTTTTTCTGATTCCATATAAAACGAAGTATTATTTTTTTGAGATCTTTAAAGTATGACAATGGAGCTTTAATAGGGATTGCATTAAAATTATATATTGCTTTTGGTAGTATGGACATTTGAACAATGTTGATTCTTCCCAACCATGAGCATGGTATGTTTTTCCATTTGTTAACATTTTTAGCTATTTCTTTTATTAGAGGTTCAAAAACAGCACACTGTACCCCATGACTATATTAATGTACACAGCTATGATTTAATTAAAAAAAAAAGAATGACTAAAGAAATTTTCAATTTGATTGAAGATATGCATCCAAATTATGTTAGAAACATCAAGTAATGGAAGAGTCAGCTATTAAGTATGAAGAAATCCTGGGAAAGGGAGGGAATATTATAATATTTTGATGAAGACTAGTTACTTAGGAATTTAGACACAAAAGATATGAAAGGGCAATTTATATGGATATAAGAAGGAAGGAACGGTGGTGATGTCTGGTTGAATGAAGAAAAATAAATTATATTTAGCTTCAGTATAGAAGCTTTCTAAGAAATTTATAAGGTAGTAGGGGAAAGCTGAAAGAAAAGCAGAAACTTTGATTATGTAGGATGTGTTTCCAAATTAGGATAAATTAGAATAGAGAGAGATGTCTGAGGAATTATTTTTCTAGTAGCTCTTTGTAATATACATTTGAAAGACGAGGGACTGAATTTAACCACAAAAAGTAAAGTAGTTAGAATAAAGTGTAATAAGAAGTCAAACCAAAGTAGAAATGAGAATAATAAGTAAAAATGTTGAGCCAGGAGTACTTGCCATGGTAAACAGAAAATCATATCATAATCAAATTTCAAGTAACAGAAAAAAATTCAATTAAATATATTTAAAAAGTAAATCTGAGAAATTAGAGACATGATTCAGGGTTTGGGAATGAATCCCTGGGTTCTTCTTTCATCCTAGGTGGTTTGTATCACCTTACATGCCAGTGACTACAAAATCTGTATTGTCAGTGATGACTTTTTCCCTACCTTTGGAATCAATGTCCAATCTTCACTGGCAATTTAATGGGCTTCACACACCTAAAACATGTTCAATTCTAGTTTTTAGACAACACTTCTTCCCGCAACTTGTTTCTTCCCTAGGCTTACTAAAGTCAGTGACTAAACCATCTTTTTAGGTCATCAAGAAAGAAAACAGTCATCTCTGAAGGCTCTCTTACCTGTTGACTCTGACTCTAAAACCTCTCTCAAATCTCTCCTATCTGGCTATCACCCTACTCTGAGGCATCATCAGCTATTTGGCTCTTAGCGTCCTCATTTGCTCATTTTTCAATTGATAGGCAGCAGCAACCTCTTCATAATATAAATTGAGTCATGCCATAATTCCTACATAGAACTTTCCATTTTGTTTAAATTAAAATTCTAACTCCTCACCTGGCCTAACAAAATATCTTCCCTGCCTGCTTTCCAGCTCTACCATGGATAGCTCTCTCCTTGCCTACTGTGCTCCTTCCATGTTAACCTTCTTTCTGTCCCCCAGATAACTGCCCCAGGATCTTTGTACTTACTGTTCACTTGTAATACCTTTCTTCCCTGATAGTCCCTGGTCCCTGGCTCATTTCCTCTTCAAAGACATGTGATCACTCTGTTTAAAGTAGTCACTAGATCATGCTTCATCATTATTTTCCTAGTCTCATTCCTCTAAATACTCCTTGTTACTATCCTGGCTATTTTTCCTTTGTTAACCATCTATCTCCATTGTTGGCTAAAATAAAGATAATCTCAGCTCAGGAACCATGTATATCTTGTTTAGGGCTACATTCTTGGGGCTAAGAATGATGCTTAGCATACTGTACACATGTCAACATATTTGTTGCAAATAAATGATACTAAAATATAAATGAATTATTACTTTTATAATCAAAAAAGAATAAAAGGCAGAGATGTTTATGTTGATGGAAAGTTTTAAAGTTTTAAATTAAATCTGAATTATTATCTATGTTTATATTTATTTCCCTAGTATTTTTTTCCTTTTTAGTATACTACTAAAAAGATAGAAGAGGGAAAAAAAGAAAAGAAGCTAACAAATTTTTAGATGAGAGATATCTGAAACAGAATTGTGGCTGACGCAGAGGAAGTCTGTATGAATCAAGAACCAATGAGAACAGGCCAGTTGGGCCTAGCAGAATCTTTATGTATTCCACAGCAGAAGCAACATATAATATATGGTGGGTTACGAAGGCTGTTAAAACAGAGAAACAGGAGGATTAATGGAAAGTCCCTGAGAGAACAGTTTAGCCTCCAGCTTCCCTTCTCTTCCCTCTCCCATGCAGCACACCTTCCTATATCTTTCAGGAAATCCAAGGTTTATTTCAGCAGGAACCAATCCAAACAAATCTGAACTCAGGTACTTAAAACAACACAAGGCTGGGATGAAGCAGAAGCTAAACATCAGAATCACCAGACCCTTATCCCCCTTCCCCATTCTGCTTCTGAAATACCTGCAGTCAGGATCATAGTCCAGATTCTGTTCTGGTTTACTCATCTTTCAGGGAAAAAGATGTTCTCTGGAAACAGTGAATATCCCCAAATAATAAAGGTGTTTGTATTGACATTTGGGGATCTTTCTGTAAACTTCCAAGATCCAAACCAAACATTCTGCTGTAAGCTTAAATGTTGATTAATGTTTCCTATCCAATTTCTAATCATCTTTATAGTCCCTCATTCTTAAACATCAACATATATCAAAAGATCAATACACACATGAACAAAGCTTAGAAGACAGCTTATAAAGCTTAAGAGCTTAGAGGGAATCAGAGACCAAAATAAATTGGAAAAAGTCAAAAACAGAGGAAAGAAGCAAAGAGAAAACAGAGGAAAAGAACAAAGAATACTTATAGAAATACAAACACAAAGTAAGGTAGTAGATTAGAAATCCACAGGCCCTACTTATCACACAAAGAGACTAAATTAACAATAATATATGAACCAGGAGACTTCTGTGAGAACTCTGAGGACCAAATGAGCAAATGCAGCATCCAGGCCATTGTATAACCATGATGGGACTCTAGCAAAAGGGGAAGGGAAACTTACAGTGTTTGGACTGCTCATTTGTATTCCTCCTCCTAGACTGTATAGATGGAAACCATCTATCATGCCCCCACACTGGGGCTCCTCTCTCAGGATGGAAACAAAAGAGTAGACCATACATCCTAATTCTGGGTTGCCTTGGGGACTGGTTTCTGCCTTGCCTGATTAAGCACTGATGGGACTGGCACCGGAGTTTGGAAACCTCTGAAAACAGAAGTAAGCAGCATGTTACAGCTACAGTTTAATAGGTAGACAATGAGGAAGCAAATCATCAGAAGAGACTTCAGAGGTCCTAGAATCTCCATGAGGGCTGACTGGTGATGGTCTTTCCATGAACAGATAGTATACAAAAGCTGGGAGAGATAATTGTTTCAAAATGCCCAAATACTGGCAAAAAAAAAAAAAAAAAAAATTACAGGGCATATGAAGAAGCAGAAAAACTCAGCCTAATCACAAGCAACAAAACTCCAGAAATTGACTCTAAGGACACACAAATCTAAGAGCTTTCTGACAAAAAATTTAGATTA